TTTCATCCGTTATGTTAACAATGAAGATCTAAGTAACATGTAGTCTACCAAAACAATGCAAATTATGACAAAACTCATCTGAATCATTTTTAAAGTTTGTTATTTCTGAGAGCAAGAATTCTTCTTCAATGTCTGACAATTTGCTCTCCGATATACCGGACATGATATTGGCAATGTGTTGTAATGTACGGTAACCGGACCTTTTATTAGCATGTAGTTACATTTTTCTACTAGAACCTTTGCAATTTTTCCTGTCGCAGTTTCAAGCTCCAATTTATATTTGTGACAAGTGGCACGTCATATTGTTCGAGATCTGTGATGGCTATAGAAATGCAATTGAAGTGTGTCTTTAAATTAATTAAGTCCTCCTTTATTCCTTCTCTACATACAGGAACCTTCAATTCATCAATCCTTTATGCTTCATTTTCATTAAGTTCCGTCAGCACATTCTCAAAAAGGTCAAAATGTAGACAACAATAAATTGCAGCCTCTTTACCAGGTTCTCCATCTCGTAAAGATCTGTTCAGGAGGAGATGGAACTTCGAGAGACAATTGTTTAAACAAATTGACTCTTCTTGGAGATTTAAAAAACAGTTTCTAACGCTTGATATTCAAGAATTAACAGTACGAAAATTTAAGGGTACAGTTTCACTCAGACACTGAACTGCATATGCCAAGCATGTTACATGAATTATTCTATTATAAAGAAGTTTTAGTCCCCACTGCCTGAATCATGTACGGAGCCTCATCCGATATGAACAAAACTACATTTTCATATCATATTCCTTCAGGCCACAAGAACAACACTACATTATTGAACACTCGCTAGTGTTGTTTGATTTGTCGCTGCTATTTCTTCAATCGCTAGAAGATAATCTTTTGAAACATCATTTGGAGCGAGCGAACCAACAATTACATTACACCCAGATCGTTTACGTGCATCAAGCGTTTCGTCCATAGTAACCCAGATTACACTATCTTAAACGGAATCACGAAATTCTTGTAAATATTTTTCATAAATTAACATAACATAACATTTGCGAAGAGTCGACATAATAGTTGTTTCGTGTATGTTTCTAAGCAATTTAGGATATTCTAACTTATACACTGGAATGTCCGCACAAGTAAAAGCCTCACGTACTACATAGGTCCGTATAAAAGGTTCATAACTGGGGCGCCAAGTTTAACTAGTTGTTTTGATTGGAGTATTTACTTTTAGCATAAACTGTTTACCAGGTTTTTAAGTGAAAGATGTTTTACGTGTTTTGTGGTTTTCAAATGTGTCACTTTGGAAACAGGTATTCGCATGTATACTTTTTTCATACGCAACACAAAATATCACGATCCCATCAGTAGTTGGCTCACCTCCATTTTCACGCACATAAAAACTGATTTGAGTAGATAATATTCTTTTAATTGGTGGAATTTTTGCGAAAAAGCGAGCGCCTTTGTTTAACCACGATACTACCTACGAATCAAGATTCCACGTCATATACTACGTATCGAGACCGAAAATAACACACACGAGCACTTCGCGTCCACACTCAAAACTGAACTGTAATGCAGATGCTACGGTTATATGCTAGTTTTAAATAGTATACTCTCTTTCTGTCCGAACCTACTGCTCCACCCCGCGAAGATCAGTTTCTCACGCCATCAAGGGCTCGCCGATCAGTCTCTTTGAAGAGCCTTTCCATCCTGCGAGAATATCCAGGCCGAAATTTCAATATCTTACAAAAATTATAATCAGTTAATAATGAAAAGTGACTATTGTTGTTTACTTATTATTATTAGTGTTATTACAAGTAATGAGTAGTAACTACATCAATAAAGTAATTAATAATTGCATTTTTTAGACATTTTCCTGCGAAAATTTGCATTATTCTAACGATATCCTCTAAATATTATGCAATTATAAAGACTTAAAATATATAGAACATGCACTATAAAAACTGCTTTTCCCCCTTGAAAAACGTTATTATTCAATTTATATATATCCCGATTATCCAACCCTAATATAGATTCGCAATAGCGCTTTACGCTGACGACACTGCACCTTCTTTTCCAAGCATTTGGGGGGACATTATGACAGCTTAGGAATAAACTTACAATACGACCTGAACATATTCAATAAATGTGGCAAAAAAAAAAAAAAAAAAAAAAAAAAAAAAAAAAAAAATTGGGAGAATTCAAATAAATCAGATAAAACCCAGGCGAAAAATTTTCACCCTAAGACCATTCCCTCACCCTTGCCCGCAGGTTAATTTTTTGAACAACGAAAAATATTCCCTGGGCTGCCAAAATAATACAGCAAGGCCAAATTATCTAGGGAATGCAACTTGATACAAAAATTAATCTTGGAAAAACACACATTTTACACAACACGCAAACAAAAGATAACAAGCAAAACTTTCCCAACTTTTACGCAACTAATTTAACAAAAAATTCTCCTTTGAAAACTAGAGACCCGCGAATGTAATTGACAAAGTCTATAATTCGAATCTCTTCTT